TAATTTTTTATTTATTGTAGAGATGAGGCTTCGCCAAGTTGCCCAGGCGGGTCTCAAACCTGCGGGCTCAGGCAGTCCACTCACCTCAGCTTCCCAAAGCTCTGGGATTATAGGCTGAGCCACCGAGCCCGGCTGAGAATTCAGTATTAAGGAGATTAAACAGACATGACCAAATGTCACGTGTGAACCTTGATTGGTTCCTGTATGGGGGGAAAATCTATAAAGAACATTATTTAGGAGACAGGTGCAGTGGCTCAGACCTGTGGATCCTAGCATTTTGGGAGGTGAGATGGGAGGATCACTTGAGACTAGGAGTTTAAGACCAGCCAGGGCAACATGGTGAGACCCCCTGGAAATGTTAAAACATTATCCAGGCGTCATGGTGCACCTGTAGTCCCAGATACTCAGGACGCTGAGGCAGAAGGATCGCCTGAGCTCAGGAAGTCGAGACTGTGGTGAACCATGATCGTGTCACTGCATTCCAGCCTGGACAGCAGATTGAGACCCCCAACCAAAAAAAAAAAAAAAAAAAAAAAAAATTACCTGTATTTAGATAGTTGACAAAGTATGAAAACAGACTATAGATAAATTCTGTGTCAAGGTACAATTTCCTGAGTGAGACAATCACACGGGGTTTTGTAGGAAGACGTCTTTGTTCTTAGGAGATGGCACAATGTGTACACCCAGGGAAGGGGTGACAACAAAGAGAATGAGAGAATCTATGTGGCAGATGCAAACAATTGGGCAGTGCAGAAGGGCGTGTGGATATCATCGTGCTATTCTTGTAACTTTTGATAGGTTTGAAATGTTTTAAATGGAGATCGGGCAAAATAAAATAAAAGAGAACCAGGAAATCATGAGTGCAGATACGTGTTGGACAGGGGCTAGCTGTGAAGGGAAAGAGAAACGCAGTGGTGGCTGGAGGGTCAAATGAGGCCAGGGACAGTTTATTGTTATTGTTATTATTATTACAGGCTGAGCCACTGAGCCCGGCTGTTATTATTATTTTTAAGTAAGGTGTCACTCTGTTGCCCAGACTGGAGTGCAGTGGCACAATCATGGCTCACCACAGCCTCGACCTCCTGGTCTCAGGTGATCCTTCCACCTCAGCCTCCCGAGTAGCTGGGATTACAGGCATGTGTCACCATGCTCAGTTAATTTTTTATTTTTTTGTAAAGATGAGGTCTTGCTATGTTACTCAGACTGGTCTCAGACCCCTGGGCTCAAGTGATCCACCCACCTCAGCCTCCCAAAGTGCTGGGATTACAGGCGTAAGCCACTGCACTCAGCATTTTAAAAATTTATTTTTACAATATTTATTTCAATTTTCAAATTTTTTTTTATAGAGATGGGGGTCTTGCTCTGTTGCCCAGACTGGTCTTGAACTTCTGGGCCTTAAGAGATCTTCCCTGGCTGGGCTTGGTGGCTCAGCCTGTAATCTCAGCCCTTTGGGAAGCCGAGATGAGAGGATTGCCCGAATCTGTGGGTTTGAGACCTGCCTGGGCAACTTGGCGAGACCGTGTCTCTACAATAAATCAAAAATTAGCCAGGCATGGTAGTGCGCACCTGTAGTTCTGACTACTTGGAAGGCTGAGGCGGAAGGATCGCCGGAGCCCAGCAGGTCAACACTGGGGTGGCCATGAGCATGCCACTGCACTCCAGTTCAAAGTGTTGAGCCTGCCAAAGTGTTGAGACTACAGGCGTGAGCCACTGTGCTCAGCCGATGCTGTTTTTATAAGATGGAGAAATACCCACAAGTTGGCATGCCCATGGGAATACTCCAGTGGAGGGGGGATACTGAGCCTGTCCCTGTACCTCTGGCTAGAGGGACAGACCCAGAGGAAGGGCTGGAAGTCCCCGCAGCCCTGGGCAGGTGGGTGGCGGGGTGGGTGCTGGTGGACTGCTTTCTGATGACTTCTGTCTCCCTGGAAAATTAGTAAGCACGGTAGTCACTGGGGAGCTAGGGGTGGGCCATTGGAGGTTGGAGGGCAGAGAAGGAATGAAACTGTCGTCCCTGAGGACAGAGCACGGACTGATGCAGTAAGTCCAGGCTGAAGCCACCCAGCAGCGGCCCATGGGCACTGCATGGGTGCTGGGATCCCACACCTCCATGGCTCCTGTGTGTGCTGTCATTAGGAATCAGGGTGGGGTCTGCTGTTCAGGGCCTGGGTGGCCACAGAACCTAGGCTGATACCTGGGCAGGGGGAGTTAGAGGGTCTTGCCTGAGCTTAGGGCCTTCCAGTTCCAACACTGAGCTGGCCAAACCGAATAGCGGCCTCAAGCCTCAGTTTTGGGAACTCTTCTGCCTGCGCTCCAGGAAGAGGCCCCAGTAGCCCCCAGCCTAGTGGTTTTCAGCTGAAGTCTCCTCCAGGGCAGTGCTTTGCACCCCTGGGAACAGATACATAGTCGATGCTTGGGGAACATTTGCCAAGTGAATTTAGGAGCAATTTGGTTAGTTGATAAGGGGCTGCCCCTTTGGGCAGCTGGGGGTCCCACCTGTGCACTGCAGGGGCCTGGGCGTCAGATGCACCTCTCAGGGGCCGACCCACCTCCCCTTCTTCCCCCCAGGTATGCCACCACGCCGACTGCCAGCAGCTGCACCGCCGGGGGCCCCTCAACCTCTGTGAGGCCTGTGACAGCAAGTTCCACAGCACCATGCATTATGATGGGCACGTCCGCTTCGACCTGCCCCCACAAGGTAAGCCCGGGAGGGGCCCCAGCCGGCCCCAGAGCTCATTTGGCAGCTCTGGACCCGTTGTCTGAGGGGACAGTTTTGGAGCTGTGGCAGGGCCATCTGAGGGACGAGAGTCAACCGCAAGTAATGAAATCCCGTATGTCCCCGTTCCTTTTGTCCCACGAACTATTTTAGCAAGAGAAATAATCGGCGGACGGTACTCCATGTGAAGACAGGCCTGTCTTGACCTGCTGTGCTTGCTGGTTCTCACTCCCACAGCTGCTCCTGCTCCTGGCCTGGGGCCTGCACAGAGAAGGCCCCATTTCTTTCCGGTCCTGCATGTCTTCAGGGCAGGGACTTCTGAGCAAATCCCAAGCCAGACTGTCAGCAGCAGAGGCAGTGTGGTGGTGGGGGTGGGGTGTGGTGGCCAGGTCAGAAGGAGCTTGTAGTAGGAAACCAGAAACCCCTCCTGCTGAATCAGGACCTGGCCAGGTGGCTGCATAGGGGTGGCTTACAGGCACTCAGGTCTGGCGAGAAGTGCCTCTCTGCTGGAGCTCCCTGGGACCTCAGGTGTGGTGACAGCAGTGGGGGAGGAGAGGCCTGAAAGACAGAGCCATAGACTTTGGTCTCTTCCTGCCACAATCCCAAGCAGGACTGCATTATCCTTATTCTGTTGAAGGATAAACTGAGGCCACAGGGGGTTTGTACTGGGTGCATCACCCTGGGTGACATCTCAAGGCCCTTATGTCCTTTTGGGTCTAGGGGGACAGATAATAGTGACTGAATCCCTCCCCTTACAGCACTAAAGGCCCCTGGGGTGAACTACATTGTAGGGGTGTCTGGATTAACAGACTGTGGTCCCTCTGGAAATGGCCACGCTGGAGAAGTGGCCGGGGAGGCAGCTGGCACAGCCCGTCCCATTTTTCTCCAAAGGCTCTGTCCTGGCCCGGAACGTGTCCACGCGGTCATGCCCCCCTCGCACCAGCCCCGCAGTGGACTTGGAGGAAGAGGATGAAGCCTCTGCAGATGGCAAAGTGTAGGTGAGGGGTGGGTGGGGGAGCAGTTCTCCTGGGGGCCCCAAGGCGAGGTCTCAGATCAGACAGCTGGGACCAGATGCTTCGGTGTGTTTCCCCAGATGGGCTGATGGGCAGACTCCTCCCCACCCCTGTGGCTGCCCTGACTCCCCAAGGAGGCTGTCCCAGGCCCAGCTAGCCTCCAGGACCCCCGAGATCACCAGGCTAGGTTCCATTAGGTGTGAGTCCTGTGTTGGCCACCAGAGGGCACACAGCCCCATGGGGACCTGGCCTACCCGAAGGTGCCTCTGTCACCTTGTCACCTAGGGGAATGAGGGGTGAGGAACTAACCAAGACCCCGCTCATGTCCCACGCCGGTGAGGCCCATCCACACCACCAACCTCTGTCTCACTGCTTCCCTGCAGGGACCGGAAGAGCACAGGCCTGAAACTCTCCAAGAAGAAAGCCAGGAGGAGACATACGGATGTAAGGAGCCCCCTGGGCTGGCACACGGGGGCTCCCAGACAGGCCGCCCTCTCCTGTCCTAGAGGCCGGATCTCCCTGGCCTGAACTCAGAGTCTTCAGGGAGTGTCCCTCCTTTGCCACCCTGTCCTACAGCTCAGTGCTGCCCACCTCAGCCCAGGTGGGGGCTGTTCCAGGAGCTCATGGGGGGTGGGGCTCTGGGGGCCTCCCCCAGGTGGAGGGAGGCTGGGGAGGTCGCTGGCATTCACTTCCCTCCTGGGGCTCCCGTCCTGGACTGTAGGGTGGGGGGGACGGGATGAGGGGTGGCAGTGGAGAAGCCAGCAGCCCTGTGTCCTCTCAGGACCCAAGCAAGGAGTGCTTCACCCTGAAATTTGACCTGAATGTGGACATTGAGACGGAGATTGTGCCAGCCATGAAGAAGAAATCGCTGGGGTAGGGCTTCATGGAGCTGAGGGCAGAAATGGGGCTGGGGCAGGTGTGGCCTCCCTTGTCGGGGACTCCAGGTCTCTGCAGGTGTGGCCATGCGTGTCTGTGTGGTGGCCCATGAATGAGTCCCCCCGTGGGCATGCCTGTGTGGGTGTGCGTGCCAGTGCGAGGGACTGTGACCGGACTGTGCCCCCGTGCATTCTGATCATGATGCAGGGCCTAGGCCCACCCGTGGGCGGCGCGTGCTAGGTCCCCCACCCCCAGTATGCAGTTGCATCTGTTGAGAGCCTCTTTGGGCAGGTGTCTGTGCACCTGCCAGTGATCCTGTGGGACTTCCCTTTTCCGTTGGGAAGGCAAGGGAGCTGGGGCTCGGCCAGGAGGCCCCTGACACACACACTTTCTGTCCTTGGCAGGGAGGTGCTGCTGCCTGTGTTTGAAAGGAAGGGCATCGCACTGGGCAAAGTGGATATTTACCTGGACCAGTCCAACACGCCCCTGTCCCTCACCTTTGAGGCCTACAGGTTCGGAGGACACTACTTGAGGGTCAAAGGTGAGCAGCAGGCCCAGCAGGCCACCTGGCCAGGTGGGTGCGGGGGTCTGACAGGGCCTCCCGGCGACAGCAGCCCTTCCTGAGCTCAGGCTCCCATTGGCCATGGACCTGAGCAGGCTCATTACCATACAGGTGTCTCCGCTGGGTGTTGGTGGCGGGTGCTGGCAGGGCGGGGCCGTGGGGGAGGGCAGCCAGGCCTTGGTTCCGAGCCTCAAGGGAGAGAGGCCAGGCCCATCCTACACCACACCTGGGCCTGAGAACCTCTTGTTGCCCCCACGCTGCCCAGCCAAGCCTGGAGACGAGGGCAAGCTAGAGCAGGGCGTGAAGGACTCCAAGTCACTGAGTCTGCCCCTCCTGCGGCCGGCTGGGGCCGGGCCCCTGGCGCTGGAGCGTGTGGACCCCCAGAGCCGCCGGGAGAGCCTGGACATCTTGGTGAGGAGGAGGGGTTGTGTCGGGGCTGGGGGTGGGGAGGGGCTCGGGCTGGAGCCACAGCCCCTCCTCAGGCGGGAAGTCACGCTGGAGTCCTTGCTGTCCCTTCTTGGGGCTTTAGTTGCCCGATCTGGAGAATGGGGCTGGCTCTGAGGATAGGGGACCCTCTCTCTTTCTGGATCTAGCCATATCCCAAGGTCATGGGTCTTGTCGGAGAGTCTTCTAGTGCCCAGGGAGTCAGAGTGCACGTGTGTATGTGTGTGTGCGTGTGAGAGAGAGAACATTTATGCCGGGGTGTGAGACTGTGTGTTGCCGACTGTATCTGTGAATGTGTGTCATGGGACGCATTTGGAGCTGTGTTTGTGAGTGCACCTTGCAGCTCAGTGCTTCCTGCTTGGGACTTGGGGCTGTATTCCGGGTGTGTCTGTGTCTGGACCTCCCAGTCCCCAGAACATGTCTGGGTCTCAAGAGGAAGCATCCCAGGGCAGGACAGAAACCCTCTGGTCCCAGTAACCCACCTTGGGGTGGGGATGTGGCGGCCCCGGGGAGGGACCTGGCCCTGACCATCCCTCTCTGGCCAGGCCCCTGGCCGCCGCCGCAAGAACATGTCAGAATTCCTGGGGGAGGCCAGCATCCCTGGGCAGGAGCCCCCTACACCCTCCAGCTGCTCTCTACCCAGCAGCAGCACCAGCAGCGGGGGTGGCGACAGCTGGAAGAACCGGGCGGCCAGTCGCTTCAGCGGCTTCTTCAGCTCAGGCCCCAGCACCAGCACCTTTGGCCGGGTACGTGGCCCATGGCCCGGGGCAGGGCCGCTGGCCGGTGCTGACCCCGATGCTGACCAGGGTCTCCTTACAGGAGGTAGACAAGATGGAGCAGTTGGAGGGCAAGCTGCACACCTATGGCCTCTTTGGGCTTCCCCGGCTGCCCCGGACTCTGCGCTTCGACCACGACTCCTGGGAGGAGGAGGAGGAGGACGACGAGGATGAGGACGAGCACCATGCCTGCCTGAGGCTGGAGGACAGCTGGCGGGAGCTCATTGATGGGCACGAGGCAAGTTCTGCCCACAGCCCTCCCTCCTCATCTCAAAGCGGGGACAATCCTTGAGAGGATCCCACGACAGGATGTTCTGGGAGGCATCCCAAGAGGCTACTGTTATCCCACTTGGAGGAAACTGAGGCTGAATGGAAATGGTGTGTTGCTTGGCTGTTTCAGAGGCAGAGGAAGGTCCAAAACATGGGTGTCTTGACTGATAGTTCTTGTGATGGCGAGGATGATTCTGTCCCTCTCAGGACCTCTGTGTCCCCACTGGGATACTGAGGAAGTTGCTCCCCTCCCCTGGCCATCCCGAGATATTCTGGGACTCCTGGTTGACCCACCCTGCCCTTCCTCTAGAAGCTGACACGGCGACAGTGCCACCAGCAGGAGGCAGTGTGGGAGCTGCTGCACACAGAGGCCTCCTACATCAGGAAACTGCGGGTGATCACCAATGTGAGTGGGGTGCACCACTCCCCCCGGACAGCCGCCCTGCCCCTCTCCCTGGTCTTTCTGGGGGCTCCTCCGCTGAGTCTGGGCCTTTGCCGGACCGGGTGCCTGACCAAGAAGGGGGGCAGAAAAGTCGGACAAGGGCATCTGGGAGGAGGTGTTTCCTACAGGCACCTGGCTGGGAGGGGACTTCAGGCAGGCTCACCAGTTTCTGCTGAATTAGCACGGGGGATGCCGCATTCCTTCACTCCATTGCCCAACAGCTGTTTCTGAGCACCCGCTGTGTGCCAGGTGTCCAGTAGCCCCCACCCTGGATGGGACAGCGTGGGTGGGTGCAAGGGAGGGGAGCACTGCCCTGGGCTTGGAGTTCAAAGAAGGCTTCCTGGAGAAAGCACAAGCTAGGCGAAACCTGGAGACTGAGCCAGGGCAGAGGCTGGGGGGGGGATTCCAGGTTTGGCTGCAAGGCCAGTCTCCCCAGAGTTTCCTCCCAGGTGGAGGGTGACCAGGTGGGCTGTGGGGGGGAGTGGGCTTCACCCGGGCGTGAAGGCCAAAAGGCATGCTCTTTTCATCCCTGGCTGCTTCGGGGCCTCCTGGGAAGGGGGAAGCACGAGTCTGGGCGGGGCTTCAGGGCTGGGACACCCCCTGAGATGCCGCGTCCCGCCCCACAGCTCTTCCTGTGCTGCCTCCTGAACCTGCAGGAGTCGGGGCTGCTGTGTGAGGTGCGGCGGGAACAGGGTCGGTGGCCGGGGCGGGGCGATGAGGGGGCGGGGCCAGCCAGGGCTTGAGGGCGGGGCCGACCGCTCCCGCCCCGCCCCTTGCAGGTGGAGGCGGAGCGCCTGTTCAGCAACGTCCCGGAGATCGCGCGGCTGCACCGCGGGCTGTGGCGCGGCGTGATGGCACCGGTGCTGGAGAAGGCGCGGCGCACGCGGGCGTTGCTGCAGCCCGGGGACTTCCTCAAAGGCTTCAAGACGGTACGGCGGGGCCAGACGCAGGCGCGGGCGCCGAGGCAGGCCTGGGGCCCCGAGGAGGCTGATCCCATCTGCCCATCATCCCCGAGCTGCCCCGACCCCGCGGGAGCCCTCGCGGCCAGAGGCGAGGGATTGCGAGGCGGTCGCCGGGTGCGGGCCTTCTGCCCCCGCCACCTGCCTGCGGGTGGTCCCGCAGGGAGGCTCAGCCTCAGCCGCAGCCTGGGAGAACAAGCTTGCAGTCCCCCTCCTCCCCGGGTGGGCGCCGCCGTGCGCTTGGAAGCGCTTGTGGAGGCCGCGCGGGGTAACCGGCGCTGGGATTGCTTTGCCCGGGCAGTTCGGCGCCCTCTTCAAGCCCTACATCCGCTACTGCACGGAGGAGGAGGGCTGCATGGAGTACATGCGCGGCCTGTTGCGCGACAACGACCTCTTCCGGGCCTACAT